AAGGAGAAAGATTGGGATTGGGGGGGAGGGGGGAGGCTGGGAAGGGATGTGAAGGGTAAACAAAAGGAGGAGGCTGCAATGCTTGGTAAGAAATATACGCATTATCCTGCTCATGTAATTGTAACCCTTCTGTACAGTATCTTCACAAATAAAATAAAAAAGAAAAAAAAAAGAACCTAACGTTTTTCTCTGAAAAGAAACAAGAAATTTCACAACACAGAGAACTGAATATCAGAAAGGCCCTTTTCAGTGGTGATATTTGTAGACACTAGAAAACACTGAATGTTTCAGACATATACTAGTTATTCCAAATAAGGGAAACCATGGGACCTATGTTTCTTTGGCCTTGGCTTACTTCAGTTAATATAATTTTTTCCAAGTCTTTCCATTTCCTAACAAATGGGGCAATGTCATTCTTTCTTATGGAGGCATAGAATTCCATTGTGTGTGTATATATATACCACATTTTCTTGATCCATTCATCTACTGAAGGGCTTCTGGGTTGGTTCCATATCTTAGCTATGGTAAATAATGCTGCAATAAGTATAGTTGTGCTGGTCACTTTAGTATGGTCTTTTGGGGGAGGGGATGGGAGGGCAGGGATGGTAGGGGAAACAAAGGAGGAGGCAACAATGCTTGATAAGAAATGTCCTCATTACCTTGCTCAAGTGATTGTAACCCCTCTGTAGGGTATTTTCACTATGAAAAGAAAATTAATTTTTAAAAAGCTGTGGAGAAAAGACCTAAGAGAAAATGTATTTTAAACATGGAAAGAATAAATTAGGTTATCTAGAAAGACATTTTCAATCATAGATTTTGCAAATTCTGCCTTTACAAATTCACTATCAGTTACTTTTTACAAGTTATTATAGAGGAAATAACAACAACAACAACAAAAGAAAACACGAAAACACTGAAGACATTGGTGGAAAATACTGAAGGAACATTATTCCCAATCTTGAATTCTATGTCTCACTGATATAGTATGGTATTAAATGTCTCCATATTTAAGATTTCAAAATAATCATTTTCTAGAAACTTCTACAGAAAAAAAACCTGCAGAAAAAAAAATACTGTTGAAATCACAAATAAAGAAGAGAAGTTCGATCTAGCAACCAGTGTATTCATCATAGGTACTTACTACAAGGCCCACAGAATGGCCAATCTATGTAAAATAGAGTATTGTAAGCTCTGACAGGAATGTGCCTGCTAGACATAATTAAATTTAAACAGAAAAAACAAAGCAAACAGAAAAATATCAAATATTTTTGTGAAATTTCCAATTTGTTTGCAGATTTTGAGGATAATATATTTGCCTATTGAATAGAAACAAAACAGGAACAAGGAAGTACCATTAATGAAACTTAAACTGTATGGAGTATAGCAATAGAATCAGTGACCCATCTATAGAAAATATTTACATAGTCATTAACAATGAAAATACTGAGATTGAGTTAGTGACTGATCTATAGTTAATATTTATGTAGTCATTAACAGTGAAAGCACTGAAATTGATTTTTTTTTAAATTTGACATGGAGTAAACATTTGACCTATTGGGTTTTTAGCACTATTTGAGGTCTTTGGTGGGAATGAATTTATGAGATGTGCATCCTCATCTACGCTAGTAGGAAGTCAACACATAATAGGTGAAATTTTAATCCCAAAATTTACTGATCAATCCTGTTACCACGTATAATAGAACCTGGCATAGGAAAGGGTACTCAGAACAATCATGTTGGAAACTATCACAAGCACAGTGTGTGTGTGTGTGTGTGTGTGTGTGTGTGTGCGCGCGCGCGTGTGTATGTTCCACATAAAGTAAAATCTAGAAGGCAACTCTACAGAGCCAACAAATAAATACATGGAGAGACCTTAGTAATTTAAAATGAATATGCTTTTAATTATCCATTGGGATGTAACTACATGCCTGTGATCTTCTCCTCCTGAAATGCAGTTACCTGTTTATTTGCTTCATTTATTTCAAAAGCAATCTTGAATTACCCAAAGGTAATTTAAATGCCTCTTTTATATTTATATGTCTGCTCTTCAGTAACCCTGCCCTGGTACAAGCATCAGTGAATACTTAAAATTGTCTGATTTATAATAATGCCTTTAAAAGAACTGCAAAATTTCAATGAAATGGTTAGGGAAAGAAAATAAATCGGAGAACAGTGTGAGTTTTCTCTCATATATAGAAGCTAGGTCTATAATATATGAACTCTAGGCACTCACATGCAGTGAGACTGAAGGAGGATATTCTTAGAGGAGGAACACAAAGGTGCAATGCCTACACAGAAAATAATATCTAAATGAATTTTAGGAAATGGAAATGAGGTTTCTTTTTCCTTTGTTGCTGTTTTTGTTTTCTTTTCTTTTTGTCTTCTTTGTTTATCTTTCTTTGGGAGGGGAAATGGGGAACAGAAATGGAGGGACAAAGAGTGAATAAATACAGCAGTGGTATTCACTAAACAATGTTGAAAATGAACTAAACAAGTTATGGATGGGGACAAGAGAGAAAAAAAGTGTAAGAAAGGGAGGGATATTGTCCAAAAAAATGTATTCTTTATCTGAATTTTATAACTGTAACCTTTCTGTATATCATCTTTATAAAATATTTTTAAAAACAGAACATATATAAAGACAAATAATAGTGACCCGAAATGACTATTTCTAGAAAGAATCTTTCTTAGTAGAACATTGATATTTCTAGGCATTGGAGGAAATTAATCCCCCTACCTGATAATAGTTGAAAATTGATATCTGAAGACATGTCTTTTCATTGCATATCTGTATTGTATCAGATTGATATAGCTTACATTCTCAGAGAAAGAAGGAAATAGAATTTTAATAAAAGCTGGGTTGTGTGAATAATACTGTTGAATTGTAGTGCATGAAAATCTCTCGTGCAGGAAATGAAAGCAAGAAAAAAAAATAACCAAGATCGGAACTTTTTCAGTAGGGGAATGAAATGTAAAATGATTATAGAAAATAGATCATTCTCAAATTAGTATTCAGCACTTCAGGGGAAGAGCATATTTTACTCCTGCATAAATTATTTGGGAACACATTTAAAAAACCCGATCTTAATCTAAACAATGAATGTTTCAAAGAGTAAATTAGTACCTTCCAGGGAGTGAAAGAGAGCATATGGGGAACTGGACTGTAGTGCCAGAGTAATGAGGCAATACTAGCATTCCTTGAAAGGCACAAATCTCATTGTTTTTCCTCTGATCCTGCTGCCCCACAGCCTTAGTGATGACAGAATTGTTGTTAGACCAGATTTTGAATAGACAGATAGCCTATGCTTTTCATCCAGTAAATCTCCTTTATGAAATCAAAACTCCCTAACTTCTTCAAATATAATATATTCAGTAAATAAGCATTTATTCTCTTGTGTCATTTGATCTATTGTAATTTACAGGCATAAGGATTCATTTTATTATTTAGCTAGTTTAGTGTTTCAACAACAACACTTGTTTGGTTGGTTGGATTTTGGTGGGGCCTGGGCGCTGTCCCTGCGCTCTTCAGCTCAAGGAGAGCACTCTACCGCTTGAGCTATAGCAACACTTTTGGTTTTCTAGTGATTTATTGGAGATAAGAGTCTCACGGACTTTCCTGCCCAGGCTGGCTTTGAACCTCGATCCTCAGATCTCAGCCTCCTGAGTAGTTAGGATTACAGGTGTGAGCCACCGGTGGCTGGCTAACAACATTTTGAAGATCCAAAGTAACTCCATTTTGAGACTGGCCCCATCATCCTGTGCTAGGCTGCCCTCAAAATAAAACAAGAGAAAGAAAAACAATTCTTGGAAAAACTGCAAATAGCCATCAACCCTGCCTACCCCTAGCAATAGCCAATCAGGAGAAAGCAGAATAACTGCTAAAAGAACCAGGTGTTCCAGTAACAGAACAGTTTTGCAACCATCAAACCTTCCAACGTGGATCAATAGCATTATCTCTGTAAAAATCTACCAATTGTGTTACTGCTTGTATAGAAATCCCCTAAACGTGTTTGTTCAATACTATAAAAGTCATGCTGATTGTAGGTTCGGGCCTCTTAGCGTCATCGGTTACTGAGTGTGTGGAGGACCGAGCTCGAGCTTGCAAATAAAAGACTCTTGCTGTTTGCATTGGTCGTGGTCTCTGGTGGTCTTTCGGGGGGTCCTGAGTCTGTGTATTACAATTTCAAATTTTGATTGTGTTTGGAGTGGAGCTCAGTAGGTAAAGTGCTTATCAACTTGTTCAAATCCTGAGTTCAACAACAACAAAAATAAACCAGAATAACAAATAAAAAAAAACACATTGTTTAAATCATATCATGATGGTGAGGGAGGCCATACGTGTTTGAAAAGCATTCATCTTGTATTCAGAATCTGTTTGAACCTGGCTTCTTATTTAGAGAGTTGTTGTGAATAAGTCTCTTTCCTTCGAGGTATCCTCTCCTCTCCCCATATCTCTTCTCTTCTCCCTACCTATCTCTGTCTCTCCCCTCCTTACCCTACTTTTCTCCCTCTCCTTTACACTCCCCCTCCTTGTCTTCTCTTCTTTCTCTTGCTTGTAGTATGGCAACACTGAACTCCATGACCTCAGCTCTTTAACAACCCTCATTGTTTCATGTTGAATAGAGATGGAAAGTGAGAAGCAAATTAGGAATACATGTCCCCAGCTTCCACTTTAGTATCTTTACTGATAGCAGATTTGTGATGATTGAAGTGTGACTATTCAAAATTCATTTTTTTAAATTATCCAAACATTCCTTTGTTAAGATTAGGTAACTACATAAATTTCACAGTACTGGGGCATAGTTAAAGTTGGCTAAAATCACAATAGTGCCTGATGGGAGGAAAAGGACGGCCACTTTTGGCACTGGTACTCATCAGGAATGTGGGATCTGTGTCTAACCGCAATCCAAGTTTTCATGACTCTACTGTCATGTGCTTGTTTCACTTCTTAGAACAATAAGTTTAGTTATCCAAACAGAATCTCTAAAAATTGGTAACCATTTACCAGGAATTTCCCAATCCCTTTGAATCAAAAATGGAAAATAGTTCTGATATGAAGATAGTTTGATTAAAATATGAAAGTACTATTCTTTGCTTTTGGAGGTTGAATTCAGAATCCTGTTTACTCGGCAGTGCTTTTCCACTTGAAGCACAATACCTTCACCGTTTTGTTTGCATTTTTACCCATATCCAGTCTCCTCCCTACATCTCCTCTTGTGCAGTTAAGTTATACAAGTGTGTGCTACCTTACCCACTTGTTTGTTGAGATACAATCTTGCTGTTTTTTTCCCCAAGTTGGCCTTAAACCATGATCCTACCAATCTTTACTTTGTCAGAATAGTTGTGATTACAGATTGAGTATTGCCTTCAGTTTTGACTGTGCTTTTCTCTAGTATAATGAGTATCTTGTGAATTGATAACCAATTAATTGCAGGATGGTGTAAATGTAGTTTGACTATGTGACATAAAGTTTAAAGTCCATTTTTCTGTGAAACCCATTAGAAAATACATTATATTCATGATTTACACGTTTTTCCACATGCACAATGTAGAAGAATACATCTCCTTAGTCCTTTTCAGCAACTACTAGCCACCAGTGGTGGCTGAAGCCTGTAAGTCCAGCTATTCCAAGGAAGAGACTTGGAGGTTTGTTGCTCAAGGTCATCTGTGTGAAAGCTTCATCTCAAAAGACAAGCAGGTGTGGTGAGGTGTGCCTCTCTTCTCACTATACACTAGGCTAAGGTAGGATGATGGTGCTCCAAGGCTGGCTCCAGGCAAAAAGTGAAACTCTTATCTGACAAATAACTTAAAGCAAAAAGGACTGTAGTTGTGGCTCAAGTAGTAGAGCTAGGGGTAACAAGAGCAAGGCCTTGACTTTAAAAACCTCAGGGGAAAAAAGAAGAAAAAAAAAGGAAAAATAAGCAAACAAATGCTTCTATAGGATGAAATAATCTGGAATAATGTAGTGAGAAAATATATTCTTTGTAGACAGATCTTATTTGAAATCTGATTTCTGTGCTTTTTAGCTCTTTTGATACTGAGCAAGTTAACTAATATCTCTGAGCCTTAATTTCTTTCTTTGTAAAATGGAAGTTGTTATACTTTTCTCATAAGTATTTATGTGTATGTGTGTGTTTGTGTAGATTACATAAAACTATAAGAAGAGTTATTGGCGTGCATTACCCAGTTTGATGCATAAAAATACTGGTATTTGTATCCTCATCCTTTCCATACACTTACAATAAAAATACCACATCTGGTAATGTAAGCACCAATCCTGCCCTTGTGCAAAACTGTTCCCTCAAATATATAAGATGGGGCATAAATCCAAGGCTATGTTGTCTGTGGAATAATTGTGATAATGGTTGCTATAGGGATTTCTTTCATTGTTTCTAAGAGAATACATACTCAGCCAAGTGCCCAAGGCACTAATTTCTATCAGGTGTAGAGAGGTTTGTTCCTATAACTGTTGTTGAAATGATGTCTAAGAAAGCCAGATATCTGGGTACTAGTTTTATACAGATAGAAGAGGAATTCTTTCAGTCACTGTGAATGCTTGATTGGGAGGTTCCAAACATTCATGGATAAATTTCAGGAGATTTCACTGCCTACTCTTTTTTTTTTTTTTTTCCCTGTCGGCTGTGGGGCTTGAACTCCGGCCTGAATGCTGTCTCTCAGCTCTTCAGCTCAAGGCTAACTCTCTACCAATTGAGCCACCGTGCCACTTCCTATTTTCTGAGTGGTTTATTGGAGATAAGAGTCTCATAGACTTTCCTGCCCAGACTGACTTTGAACCTCGATCTTCGATCTTCGAATCTCAGCCTTCTGCATAGCTAGGATTATAGATGTGAGCCACTGTTTACTCTTACCTTTAAGACACATTAGAAGACAAATATTGGCACAACATACCTGTAGTTTTGATTTATGTAATCTGGTAGACTATTACTAGGCCTATAGTATATGTGGAATTTTTATATTATTATTTCATGAGATCAGTATTACACATTAATTTCAAGGATTCTTTAAGGGTAGGTAGTTTCAGTTGTTTCATCTAACATGATCTGTGTGATTCTGCTTAGTCGCTGCATAGAGCAGCCTCTGTTTTCCAATCACATCTCTCTCTTTTTTCTTTTTTAATGCCAGATACCTACCAAAAGCCTTCATCTTCAGCAAACCATTTCTTGGCAGCTTGAAAAAATATTGCTAAGATATATCTTCTCCTCTGGAGTCAAATGTTATAGTTTTGGTTTACACTCATGCAAACCAACCCCAAGGCATGATTTTGAGTACAAGTAGATTATTTTGGAGAGGATTATAAGTCCCAGTGAGAGAAGGAAACAAGGAAAGAAAGCTTCAGTAAAGATTACAGTTTTGATAACGTTAAACCTGTT